AAACAGGAGTCAAACAGAATCCTTGTATCACAGACAGCTTCTGTTTCTAAATGAGGCAGCATTTGTAATGTTACTAAAATACAGCAGTAAACAAAGTATGTGAAGGCTTGACAGTCACATTAGCAAAGTGCTACAATGAAATGACTGGAAAGAAGGAAAAAAATAACTCTGGCTATTCACAGAGCAAAGAAATGGGAAGTGGTTTTGACAGATAAGATAATGCAACTGTTGGTCAGAAGAGCTTTGTCTGTTTTTGGGGTTTTTTTTTGGTTTGGTTTGTTTTTGTTACTGCAGACGAAAAATGGTGTGTTCCAATTTTAAACAGAGAAATTTGGATTTATTCTTTTTTAACATGCCTGACTCTCTCAGAGTCTCATGATTAGGGGAAGCATATTTACAGCTAAACTCAAAACAACAGTGGGTATGAATTGGAGAAATCTGGATTGTTCACTATAGCTCTAACATGGTTTTCCTCTTGCATAATGACAGAGGTGATTTTTTCAAAGTATATAGCACATGTAGAAGCAACTCCTTTATGAATAATTTACAGCTAATGAATTTCTGCAGGTTTCACATTGTCTGTGGGCAGGATAGTATTTTATTTGAATTCCTGCAGCAACACCCAGAATTCTGGAGCAGGTTAGCTGTGGGAATAATGGCATTGCCATTTTGCCTGTAAAAATAGTCGTTTTCAGGATTGTTGTAGTATTGACAACTCTTTTCTCCCTCAAATATTCAGAATGATCTTAGGACTTCCTGCTTATTACAAGACTTCTATAATTGGGGACTTTTAAAAGATTTAAGTTACCATGGAGTATGTGATTGCACTGACAGAACTAATTTACACATGAAACTGGTTCTTCTGTTTGTCTTAAAGGGGGGTCTCTGGCATTATTAACAAGCTAGAAACTAATAGCAGGAACCCAGGTTCCTGGTTCACAGCCCACTTGACATCCCTGACCCACCCAATGCCAAGGCTGGTCTCGAAGGCTCTGCCAGGAGAACCCCCTTTGAGACTCGTCAAAGAGAAATAAGTGTCCTTAAAGTAGGCAGCTCAGAGCAGAAACTGAGTTCTTGCGTTGCTACAGCTTCTGATCCTGCACTGCTGCAGGTTTTTGTTGCTTGAAATAGATGCAAACCTGGTACAAAAGGAGAAGTAAAGGATGATGAGGAAGATACGGGTTACGCTTTTTACTTGTTAGAATTTATTGGGGATTTGTAAAACAGATGCCTAACATCTAAATTTGAACAATTTTAAAAGCAATGCTAAGGTACCAAGAGCTACCACAACAGCTTCATGTTAGTCTTGTAAACAGTACATGATTTTAGAGGGGAGAAAAATAATCTCTAGAGAAAATGGCGTATTAACTGTAAGCACACAGAGCAAGTGACTATTAAGGTAAAAAAAGAAGAGTTTAAATAAGTGTACAGAGATTTCTGTCTTCCTGGTATATACTTGTCTTATGCATTGGAAAAGGCTGGGAGCCCTGCTTGCCCGTGCCAGCAGCCCATTGTTTCTTAGTGCTGGGCTGGTTGTGTAACCAGTTGGCAAAGGGTTCAGGTAATGAACTCTGGCAGGAGCACAATTGGAAATGGGAATTGATATTGAAAGCAGTATCTCCCGGGCTCACTCCCCTTCAGGAGCCCTCAGCTCCTGCATGGAGACCTGAAACCCTTTGCTTGTTTGTGCTTTAACCTGAAAGAATTAAATCGAGGGAAAGGCCTCATGAATAAATTGCTTGTCAAGGCAGTTTCTGGTATTGATCAAATTCTGCTGTTTATGTGAATTGGGCTGATCTCAGAGTGAACTTGAATTGACTGCACAGCAGGGGAGCTATTTTGGATAATACCCTTTCCACATGCATGGCAGTATAGTGAAGGTTCCTGTGTCCATCCCATAGTAATAATGAAGGAAGAAATTAAATTTATATTAACTGAATTTGTAAATCTTCCCAAAAAAATGAGATGGTAAATGGTGAAAACCTCCTCCCAAGATTTGCGGTGGTGCTCAACTTAGTAAAAGTTTAGAATATCTTCTGCCTAGTTTGCCCCTGAACACTGTTTCCCACTATAATTTTCTTGCTGACAATATCCAACAATAAACTCCCAGTGTAAAAAACACTGATACTGCAACAATCCCCTCCTAGAAATGATGGGGAATCAGAGTTTCAGACATGGAAAGAAGGTAAAAAAGTGGAACAAAAGCAACTCTTCTGACAGTATTTATGATTCTGAACCTCTGCAAAAAATTTTGCAGATCTGTTGATGCTGTTGTTACTCTTCCTAGCCTCTTTCTAGGCTTACCACCCCCCATCCCATGTCTGATGTTATCACTGCAAATGGAAGACAACTGGAACTAAGCAAACGTGCATAAATTTACACATGCACATGTGTCTTTCATTAGCCTCTATCATCACTTAGCACTGTGCTAATAAACCTTTGCACCTGTCAGCTGCATGAGAGATTTCTGAAATGGAAAGCGAAAAACCTTTCAGCAGTGTGGTAAAGCCAGGCATGCTGGCTAGTTAAAGTTCTTGTGATAAGGCCTGGGAACTTTATGTGCTCATCTTCAGGCAGTGACAAGAGGAGAAACTGGGAGGCCAGTCATGACCTGTCGTATCATATCTCCTTTATTTGGTTAATACATGGTGGTTTAGAGGAGTCAAAGTCAGATTCAGAGGCAGCAGCCAGTCAGAGCATGCTGGTGTTTAGCAGATATCCCAAATACCTACATCAGACAGCAGGGTAAAGTCAGATTCAGAGGCAGCAGCCGCCAGTCAGAGCATGATGGTGTTTAGCAGATATCCCAAATACCTACATCAGACAGCAGGGTGTCTTGGTGGGTAGAGCTGCATCCACTGCAGGCTGCGCTCATGTAGAGACAGTCAACAGGACAAAGGGGAATGTTTTTAACGTGAAAGAGTACATTTAAGATTGGATATTAGGAGGAAATTCTTTACTCAGAGGGTGATGAGGCCCTGGCACATATTGCCTTGTGAAGCTGTCATTGCCCCATCCCTTGAAGTGTTCAAGTCTGGGTTGGATGTGGCTTGGAGCAACCTGGTCCAGTGGAAGGTGTCCCTGCCCATGGAAGCGGGATTGGAACTAAATGGTTCTTCAGCTTCCTCCCAGCCCACCTGATTATTCTGAGATTTTTCAAAAATTTATTCTTCATAGAGCTGCTTCCCTCAGATAATCAAAATGTATCACAATCAGAATGTCTGTATATCTTCCTTCATTAATCAGTGTTTTCATGGTCCCTCAAATTTGACATTGATTTTGCCAGGAGAAGTCAGGCAGGGATTTTGAAACATCTGTTCAGTCTTGTACTTGACAAATTCCTGACATATACATATTATTCGTGTAGGGTCACCTGGGTTTATCTTTTGTATGAGACAAAAAGACAGGTGGGTAACACTGGGAAATTTTGGGGATGCTGGTACATAAAAAACCACAGGAGACAACCTCATTCACTCTCATGAATTCCCTGGAGAAGCATCTGGAGCTTGATGCACCCACAAAGGGGCCATTTCAGGCAGATGTGCACCATTCTTAGTCACAGATGTTTACAGGCATTTTGTCTGGGGAGATGATTTTAAACCAGTGAGGGAGAGGTGAAGCTGCTGATATGATGATCCACTGAAAAGTTTCTGCATGAGAAGTAAGGTCTGTTAAAATGATAAGTAACATTTCTATCACTGTAAATTCATCCACCCCCCAAGCTTGGTAGGACTGTAGGTCAGGCATTGGAATAGGCTGCCCAGGGAAGAAGTGGAATCCCCAGCCCTGGAAATGTTCAGAAGGTGAGTGGATGTGGTACTTGAGGACATGATTTTGTGGTGTACTTAGCAGTCTTGGGTTAACAGTGGGACTCTGTCTTAGAGGTCTTTTCCTACCTTGATGATTCTATGATTCTGTGATTCTATAGGTTGTGTGCCAGAAGTTCCCAGTGAAAATAACATTGGCCATCACAGCAAGCAGAGAGGAAATTAAATTCCCCATTATACCATTGGTTTGCAGATAAAATTAGAAGGAAATGTGGCTGAAATTTTCCGTAGTAGATACATTTTTATGGACAAAATAAATGTAGTATACTCTGGTGGCCTTAAAAACCCCGCTTTAGAATTCCACAGGAGAAAGAAGAAGGTTTTTGAGAGACAGTGAAGGTTTTATCTGTGTTGTTGAAAGGGTAAATTATTTCAGTTTATGAATGAAATGTTTCTGAAATATCTGAGTTCTTACTACACTCTGCTGTCTCATTATACCACCCAAATGCCTGGATCCCTTAGTGACCAATCCCCTGATATCCTACAGTTCAGTCACATGAGTGCAACAGGTTTTACAGCAGCCACAGAAGCAGAGAAGTAGCATGATGGAATGTAAATAAAAATCGGCTTCTTAGCCAATGGCAGAATAGTAGAACTCTGTCTAAAACAGCAAATTCTTTTTTTTTCCTTTTCAAATATTGTTAGGAATTTGAATCTAAGCGTCCAGACAAGCCTGAGGCAGAAGAGATAAAAACATTGAGTTAAAATGATAAAATGCATTTTCCCACATTCATATTCTAGTTTGTGTCTGGCTACCCAGTGTATTTGAACACTTCACTGTATTTATTTTCTTTCTGCTGGCCATAGAAACTTTATAACTGTGATTAAGTCCCCATCATATACTTCATTTTATGAGCAGAGGGGATTCTTTAAAAGTGATGAGAAAAGAATGGCGGGGGGGAGGCAGAAACACACACCACAATGTGATTTTAACAATCTCAGTTTAAAAAGAGTTTGAATTGCTAAAATATTCAGGCAATTATTTTCAAACCATGTTCTCCCTATAGCCTCTGTCCTCTTCTCTAGTGGGTGCCACTGTACAACAGTGGAGTCTACAAAGGTAAGAGCTTGCCAGAAGGAAAAAAAAAGAGCCAGGCATGAAGAATCTGAGAATTAGATATTAATTTGGTACTGTGAGTATTGATTTTTCTCGTTCTTTGGCTTATATTATAGGGATACAAGAGCAAGAGGAAACTTCCATGGAGCCTGTGAAAATTGACCTTGCAAGTCAAGCAGCAGATGTTTCAAATAAGGATGGTATGTTGTTCTATTATTTTCAATTAATTTTTTAGGGTAATGGCTGTAATCTGACAAAGAGAGTGTTTAGATTGGATATTAGTAAGGAATTGTTCACTATGAGGGTAGGGAGGCAGTGAAACAGGTTGTTCAGAGAGCTGTGGATGCCCCATTCCTGGAAGTGTTCAAGGCCAGGCTCATGGGGGTGTGGAAGAACCTGGTCTGGTGGAAGGTGTCCTTGCCCAAGGCAGGAGAGTACAACTTCATGGTCTTTAAAGTCTTTTCCAAGCAGAACCATTCTATTACTCTGTATATTATCCTGAAGTTGATACCTAGCATTGCCTTTCTGGAGTTTGTAAATATGCTTCCTCCTAAAAAAAAATTAGTTATATTTACAGTCTCTTCAACTGAGTCTTTTTGGGAGTTTACACCATCTCTACTGTCTTGTGAGTCTGGTGCAAGTAACTTTCAGCACTGTAGCCCTGCTTTTTAATTTGACTGGGTTAATGTGTTCAGCTGGTACGTTCTACACTGCCTGTCTTTTAACTAAGTAATATTTTAGACCCACTGTAATGTTGACCTTGATACAGAATTGGCCAAGAGGTTGGAGGTCTAACTGCAGGGGGAAGTGTTTGGCAGTATAATCACTCTGAACTTGTATGTTAGTCTCATTCTCAGTCAGCTGTGATTCCCTTTCCTCCTCCTTCAGTATGCACACAGTTCTCTCACTAGGACTTTTACTGTTAATAAAATAACCACAATTTAGTTGACCCAACAGCAGTCCCAGTCAGGTTTGTGGACGTAATCAACCCACAATTCCTGACTTGGAAATTATATTCCTCCAACATTGATCTTGGTGAGCCAATGACCCATCTGTGTGGCAAATTCCAGCAAGGGCTGAGTACTAGGATGCTACTCAAATCTGCAGTGTGTAACATCCTTGTAAACAAAAAATAATTGACCTTGACTCATCCTGTGTGTAAAGAAATTATGGTGGGAATCAGCATATTGGTGCTTAGGCTTTGGTGAAGCCTTTTTCACCCATCTTGCTCAGCTCTTGTAGCATAACGGAGCTACATAGAGGGTTTTGTTGGGTTTTACACAGAGGGGCTTTTTTACTGCCCCAGACAGCAGTGGGTTTGGGATTGGGTGTACAATCCTCCTTTTATACGCATAGACTCCTCTCTGTACTGAAAGGTTGTTTTTTAACTCTTTCTTTAACCTCCTCAACACTGGCAGAATATAAATTGAAGGGACACTTTTATACATCTCAAAGACAAACCAATTTTATTGTTCTTGCTATTAGTTACACAAAGAATCTGATGCTGATTTCCTTTCTCTGATGTCAGATTGTGCTGCAGCATTTGAATGGGTGACTGATTAGATACTGGCCTGTAAAGAAGTTTGCAAGCACAGGAAAAGCAAGTGTGCATAATGAACTTTTCTTTATTAAAAAATGCTAGAGTTTATACTATTACAAGTAGAAGTGCAGAACAAAGCCAAAGCAGCCTTCTTGACTCATTCTTTGAACAAACCCAAAAGTCATAGCACATTAAAACATTTGAATTGTGAATCCATGGGATACTTTGGACTACTTAGTGAAAACAAATCCAAATTTACTGAAGGAATATGTTAAGGGATTTCTGGCTGGAAAGGAAAGTGATTGCATAACTGGTTCAGTATGTGCGCATAGGACAGGACAGCAGGACCAGCTAGCAGTCTCTGAAATGAGAATCTTGATAGGTTTCTCTGTTTCAAATCTTGCTTATCTTGTAACATCTTCTACATATGACTCATCTTATACCTTTCTTTTCTTTGAACTTTCTAAGTTATATGAAAGAACAGGAAAAGGGTGTTTGCATAGGCTGCCAAAAAGTACTTCACTTGTCAGGGAAGTTTTTGTTTCTAGACAGCTTAAATTGCTATTAGGATTATATTACAGGGTGGTTTTCCTTGTGGACATATACTGCATGTTTAAAAAATAAAAAAAAGAGAGAGGAAGGATCAAACTCATTCCCTTTAACAGTAATTTTTATGTAAATTGCCTATTTTTTTCTCTGGTCCCCTTCTTTCCGCCCCAGGAGATCTCATTGCTTCACAGCTGAAAGCACAAGCATGTATCACTGCACCCCCTTGGCAGCCCAGTTCTTGTGGTTTAATTTCATGTTCAACGGCACAGTGGAAAGTGCATTAGAGATGCAGAGAGTTTAGACAGCTTGGGTGGATCTCAATATTGGTTCATCCAGTGGGCAGGTCCATGAGAGTGATATATTTGAAAAATTACTATTTGAGACCTGGGATTGATTCTTCATCAGGAAAACTGTCAGAAGGTGCATCTGTACCTGGATTAGGGCTGCGTATACAGACACATATTTGTCCTGCCCATTTCCTTCAGCCATCAGAGCAAAGACCCTTGTATATTAAATTTTTTGTACCCAGGACAGATTTGCTGATTAGTTTTTTTTATGACAGCAGCTCCCTCCCTCCCTCCCTCCCTCCCTCCCTTCTCTCCCTTCTTTCTTCTTCCACCAAAGCTCTAGAGATTATTAAGGGAATTTTTAGTTTCCAGCTTATATTAGTCAGATCAAACTTTTCACGATGGGGTTGCTCCATCATCTTTTTTTGTTTCAAACCTGTGGAAAGCTGCATCCTGATTTAAACCAAAACTCTAATATTTTGGTGTCATCTGCTGTCCAGGTCTATGGCATAATATCCTAGGCTAAAGAAATGCACTAAGTCTCTCTTAGATGACTTTAACTTGGCTCTCCAATCTCCCATTTGCCTGTCTTCTCCTTCATCCTGTTATGGATGGGAATTATTTGCTGGGTTATTTCTTCTCCTCTTGCAAGGAACTTTCTTGCTTTTGGGGGACAAATCCCTGCCTGGTCATCATTTGAGAGTTGATAATTTTGGCCCCCAACGGGTAAAAATTTAAGAGAAATCAGACAGAGAATGTTCACATCCATTGCACAGAGATGTCCATTTCTGGCAATAAAACCATCTGTGAAGGTGCAGAAGGAGGTGCAGGTAAAACCGAATTTAGGAGATGTGCATCTCTTTGCACTGCAGTTGCTTCTCGGAGTTGTTGGCTGATGTAGCATATTATGGGGAGGTGCAACCAGACTGCTAAAGTGAGTTAGCAGTTTAAACCCTCTAAAAACCTTGCTTATCAGAGAGAACCTCTGTTTTGGCTTGTGATGTGATTGGATGTAGAACACTCAGGGCTAATGATGCCTTTCTGACACCCCCTCGTGCTGGGAGGAACCGAGGACTGTGAGTCACATCCTCCACCATACCTGGTGGCAGTTCTTCCGTGTGTTCTTGTGCTATGTGCTTCACTGCTGTGCGGTTTTCCAGCTAAACAGAGAGAACTGTGTGGCTGTCCTCATAGTGGCATATGTTGGGGTTCACTCAGTGGTCTGCAGAAGCCCATCCTTCAGTCAGACCTCCCTGTCCCTAGCAGAGCTCATGCAAAGAGCTGAGCTCCGTCACAAATACAGAGGAAAAGGTTCATCTGGGATGCTGACAGAGCCTCACCACAGGTTTCAAGTCCAGATTTAATTTGCAGGAGGTTTCTGTAGAATGTGAGTGAAGGCTGACAGTATTTTCAACAAATACTGCCAGTGAAGCTGTCCAGCATGATGAGGCTGGGAGAGGATGCTGTTGTCAATGTGCAGCAACCCTCCTCCTGTGATTTTTTTATTAAGCATCCTGTCTTTTCTATGCAAATATTGTTAAAGAACACAAGCTTGCTAAATGTGATGTGCATCAGAGCTCTGTAATCAGGAGAGGATACTTTTCATATTATTCATCACATACATCCAGGAAGCCATTACAATATCTTCTCTGCATATGGGTTATTAATAATTTACAAATAATTCATCAAAACTGTAACAGGTACATTGACATGATATTGATTCAGAAAAGACATCATACTGCCTGGCTGGAAGTAGCAGTATTATTGATTTTGGGTTTTTTTCCTTCCTCTCTCCCATCTTAATTTCCAAATCTTCTACTCATGTTTGAGGTTTTTCCCTGTCACCCGTGTCAAATGCCTCATAATCTACAGGTGATAACACAACACAAAGCCAGAGTAAAGAAACAAAAAACAGTTTTACTATAAATGGCTTAAAATTCAGTGCAGAACAAATACTAGATATTAGTCAAAACTGCAGGTATTTATGTTTAGCTTAACTATGACCATTCACACCTGCCATAGTTTAAATAATAGTTTTGACAAATGTCACAGTGAAATTAGTTTCAGCCTTCTATTTAATTTCTTTTAATCTTTTTTTAGTTTTTTTTTTTTAATGTCATTTTAAATGAAAATAAGGTTGGCTTTTAAATGGATCTTACACTAACAAACTATTATTGTAGGAATATAGTGACATGGCCTCTGAATCCTCCCCTAGGTTCCAGCAATTTGCAGTTCAAGAACTTCTGGAAGCAGCATCTCTGTAACTGAGAAGGCATCAAAAGTGTCACATTTTTGACTCCTGTGATTTAGGGACATGGTTTAGTGGGACTTGGTAGTGTTAGGTTTTTGGTTGGACTCAGTGATCTTAAGGATCTTTTCCAACCTAAATGATTCTGTTTTTCTGCAGAAATGGATCTGTGTTCATCCTGTGGCTCAACCTGAGTCCTACCAGGGACTTTGTCAGAAGCCAGTGTTTGAATCAGAGGGTAAAGGTTTGAATCAGAGGGTCAAGGCCACTTAGTCCAGCAAAACTCCAGATCACTCTTTGGCAATACCTGTATCTCTGTGGCCTACAGACAGACATGAAGGTCCTTTCGACCTTGAGCTGGACTCCAAAGTCAGACTGGATGGATGTGGACCAAAGAGCAAATCTAAAGCCAGAGGCTTGCCTTTCTAAATGATGCTAAAGCCTTCCTCCTTGCAGGACTGTTTGTCATAGTGTCCAGGGAACTCCAGGTTAGGATGGGTCCCCTAAGAGGCCTATTTGACGACTTAAGAGATTTCTTAATGCAATAAATGTCCCTTTTGGTTTAAAAGCAGTTATTACTCCACATGATAAACTTAACGAGTATCATTAATAGAGTTTAATGACCATCTCATTTCTTTTTTCAGCTGAAATGAATAGTCAAGTTGAAAGTATAAATGATCCAATGGAAACAGAGCAGAAAGCTTAAGTAACAGGTAAGACCTTCGCAACTATTTTTTCTCCCCTATTTTCCATACAGTTTCTGTATGAAAACTTGCTTTGAAACCACCTGAATTAAAGTTAAAATTTACCAAACATAAAAAAAATATAGGAAGACAGAATACAAGGGAGAAGTAATTGCTAATATGGCCTGTATTGCATAATAAAAAGGAAAAACTTTATTTGTCAAGCAAATATTATAGCAGCAGTGTGCAGCTGTAATGGGTGTAGGTAGTGCATGGTCTTAGATCATCCGAAGGCAAAGCAGCACTGAGATAAGGAACAGAAGAATAAGTGAGCAAACAATTTTTGGCATTGCTTTGGAAAAATGACAGGCAATTTATACTGGTTGGAACAAAGCTCAGTTCTGTATGAGCTGTGTTCTGGGAACAAAAAGTTCACATTTTAAGGGGTTTGTTGCCCTTGGCTCTCCAGTACCTAATGTCTCTTCAGCAATACCACTGAAAAACAAGGTAAAGTCAGAGAGCTGCCTTCTGGATCTCTGCTGCCTTTTGGAGCTTTTTTTGGCTTCCCACACTAAATGATAGTGCTGTGGCTGGAGCAGTGGTGGCTGCTGAGGAAGTGTTTTTCATTGGCATAAATAGCATTTCTTCTAGACTAAAATGAATAATGTAGTGGGAAGACAGAAGTCCAAGACTCATCCCTAACAAAAAGAAGCAGGAGCCCTTTCTCCCTCAGAAGTGATTTTCAGTTCACACTGCTTCCTTTGGTGTAGGGTTTTTGAGAAGTACCAAAATCATCAACAGCAACATGCTGTATTTACCCTTGTCATGGGGTTTCATGTAGCACAAGAGCAAGGTGTTCAATGGCAGCAGCTGTAACACAGAGATTTAAAACACAAAGTCTTATTATGGAACGTGACTCTTGGTCCTTATCAGCATACAGGTGATGTGCTACCATACTGCTGGAGTGAGAAGTAGCCCTGATGGTGTCCCATTTAAAAAAGTACTGAAGTAAAAAAAGGATGTACCCTCAAAATATTAATTAAATTACAGCATCCATAACTCTTCCTCCCCCTCCCTTAGCTTCTTGCTCAAACAAAAAAGAGGAAATAATGAAATCCTTAACTTAAAAATACATCAATATGTTAATACCTTTCCTCTGTTTAAAAAAAGGTATTTGAATATTACAGTTTTCTTGTGGCCCTTAAGAAGTCTGTTTCTCATGCTGCATTTTACCATAGAAATTATTATCTGTGAATGTTTAGGGTTGGAGTAACTTTTGTTCATGAATTAGCAATTAATTAATAAATCTCTTCAGTTCCACTGCGGGGCCAGATTCCGGGCACACCGTGTCTTGCTCAGCAGTTCAATGGCATGCACAGGATTAGAAGCAGGCATTGAATTCATTGCAACTTGCTGTCAAAATCATCCAAACTGTGTGGCTGCTGTTTTAATTACTAGGAGCAATCCCCAGGGAGGATTGATCAGCCTGTTAAACCTCAGAGAATCTCACAAGGGTCATTCTGGAGCGAAGGAGGTCCATCTGCTTCCTATTTTTAGTACTTTAATGTGTTGTTTGTCACCAAAGCACGTACCAGAGCTGGCGGTCTCTGGTATCAAGCTGTTGCTTGGTGGTTCTCTGGAAAACCAAGACACCCTGATAAGCACAGGTAATTTGCTCGCCCAATAGTAGCTGTTGTACATAAGCTGTGTCACACACACACATTGGACAAAAAATGAAACCGTAGGCATCTGTTGCTGGAAACATGAGACTTGGGGGAAACAAGAGACATGGGTTCTGTGCAGACATTTGAAAATTTTCCTGTTTTTCTTTCCACTTTTCTCTCTACTGCTGTGGCGAAGGAAGGATGCAGGAGAGGAGAGACCCAAGGAAACCCTACGGGCAGCGCTGACATCCTCCAGCATCATTCTTGGCCGAAAAGAGCACACAGAGATGATCAGCGGGTTGGGAGGGGGGGAGCTTTTGGGGGAATGAGTCTTTGCTTTTAATTTCTCTTTGTTCTTCATTGCATTTCATTCTGTAAGTCTGTTGCAAAGGATCGTAACTTCCCAGGTCTAAAAATGTTTTGCAATTAACCCTGCATTTACAACAGTTTCTTCTGAAATGTGAGTCCATCTCTTATATTGGGTCTTTTTTCCTCCTGCATCATACCATCAGTAGCCTGTTTCCAGGCCCACCCCTCTTCTAGCATCTTTATCTTCTTTCCCATGATCAGCTTATGCTGTGCCATGTCCTTACATGTGAATAACACATGTGGCCTCAAACAGCCAGCACCCTAAATCCTGCTTTTTCCAGTTAGTTCTGCACATCTCAAAACCAGTGCTGTAAGTATGACCTTTGGGTACAGGTAGGCAACAGACATTTCCTTGATGCTGGAAAGACTCTGCATTAGAGGCATCTTTAAATACAGCTCCCAACTTTAATGGCTTCACACAGTAGCTTTTGTGAACCCTCATTACATTTTCCACTGCATATGCATGGATTTTTTTTTTAAAGCAATTAACAGTCATTTGGATAAGAATGTCTCTCCATATGTCAATTGTTCTGCTAGTAAATGCTGCACTGAAATTTGTAGAAAAGGAACAAAAGGTTTTCATGTACATTTCCCAACTGTACTGTAACTGATGGAAAATACACTGGATTGGAAGAGCATGCAACCTTTGTCCCTACAGGGATGTGCTACAAACTGTATTTTAAAGTGCTGCTAAGAATAATTTGGTCATTTTAGAAAGTAATTGAATCTAATTTGATAATTCTAAGAAAAATAATTGGTTCTGTGCTCTTTTTTTTCACCCAAAATATTCCTGAATCACAGATAGGTATTTAATATCTGGCCAAGAAAAAAAGTGGAAAAAAAAGGTAAGACATATCTCTATCCTCCTGTGATCTGGGTTCATCCCAGCTAGAGCAGTTTCAATGATAAATCCTGTGCTGGAGTAGCAGCAAGTCAAGGGTGACCTGAGCACACCTAACATGGGCTATGACAGTCAATGGTTGTTGTTAATTCAAAAGGGTGTCAAGGAAAAACAAGGATTAGAAAGGAAAACAGGAAAAGCATCAGATTACACACAGAGAGTACAGCTCCTAGAAAGTACAGCTCCCCCCACCTCCCCTCCTCCCCTTCTCTGTGGGACTCCAGCATGTTTGTTGAGGTGGGATCAGAAGGGTATTTCTGTGTGCTGCCTCCAGTGGTATATTCACCCAGCTGTGACTAGTGCCAGAGGGGCTCTCAAGGAGCTTCTTCATCACCTAGACAATTCCAAATTGGATCAATTGTAGGAGTAAATGAGCTAATGTTAGTCTATTAATTGGTTTGAGAATTTTGCTAAGATTACCTGTATTTGGTAACTACCATTCCTCTGGCTCTTGCACTCTCCAAATACTCTTGAAGGGACTCCTTGTTCCCTTTGAGGTGCCTCTGATGCTCTCCTTTCCCAACCTTGGGGTCATGCTTGACAGAACATGTTTTTGGGATGTGGACTCTTCTGCATGGTCCCTTACGTTTCTGTGTATCTCTCACACTGTGTTATTATGATTGAAACAGGCTGCCATAATAGGTAGGTCAGGAGTGGATGAATACATCAGGAGGTGATTTATACAACTGTGATAACTTCAACAGACTATCCAGTCCCCTGAATGTAGTTCTGTACCTCTTCTGATTGTGCTTCCCCATGGCCAACATTAACATCAGCCATGAATCAGATGTCAAAATCTTTTCTCACCAACTTTGGCTTTAGCAAGGGAGCCAAAGGGACAGCTCCAGAGGAGGCTGGATGCTGAAGTGTGGTCATTCAGAAGGAGATAAAGATTCCTTAAATGTCTTGTGAAGACTGACTGGCAGTTAAAGAAAAAAAAATTAGCTGCAAAGATGCATCATATTAGATGCTCTCTAGCCCCTGACAGTAATTTCATTTTGCTTTTTATTTAACCTTGGTAGACAATAGTGAGTCCGAAACAACCATTTTCCTAATGATGTGTCAGCAAAGCATGAAGTCCAGAAAGTGTAAAGCAAGGAACCCTATGAGTAGATTAAGTCCTTGCTGTACTATTTGCAGCCTTGTTTATATCTGTCCTCCTTTGGGTAGGTTTTGATTTGAATTGTTGGCATTTTTCACTACTCATAAAGTGAATATACTTTGGCAGCATGAGTTCTCAGCTGTGTTAATAATAGTCAATGCAGTCAGTCTCTGATGTTTGTCTGGAGATGCAGAAAGGTAAAGAGCTGGTTTTGTAGAAGAACTAATGTTAGATAAAGAATCACCACGCTGCTATTTATGTCAAGGATTTTGATTTAAACTCAAAACGTATTTACAGCAGGTGGTGTGAAGCCTTTGGGTGCTGATGTTTGCATTCAACATAAGAGGCTGTGCTTGATTGTTGTTCCTCCTGTGTCTGAAAGTGCTCATCCCTGCCATTAGGCACAATATTCCTCAGGCTGGTGACTGCTCCCATGATGACATCCAAAGGTGATACTGAGACATAGTCTGTAATAATGGGTCACTGCAGCTAATTGTCACTCTTTCTATAAAGCACTGAGAAAGCCTCTCTTTGAATTAACACTGTTCTGCTTTAGGACTTGAATTAAATTATATTAAAAAAAAAAGAGTTTATATGCAGTGCATGCCAGCTTTGCTTTTAAAATGACGAAATCTAACAGAGTATGTGGATCTATTTTCTTGGGGAATAGGGATTTTTATCATATTGTTCATCCGGGATTTGCCTTACCCTGACATTTGTGATATAAGTTTTAAAAAATGTAAAAACTGAAAAAGGTAATTTTCTTGACCAAAAAATATGTTTTTACTTCAATGCAAAGAAATGTAGAATGTTGCTTGCAAAATGTCCTCTAATAGATGGTCTAATAGTTATATGGGTTAACATTTGCCTTTCTTGTTACTTTGTCATTTACATGCTGAACCTGAGTCTCGTTACTTTCCTTGTAACCTAAAGAACCAATGCCTTCATAACTACCTTGTTAAAGCAAATAGTTAATAAAGCTTGTCCTGAAGACAAGGCAATGCCACTCGTGTGTTTATGCCCTCCTCACCATGCCAGTTGTGCAGAGGTAATTTTGGTTGTCAACAAAGGACGTTTTGGTTTGGATGTGCCGTCAGCAACGCATGCAGCTGGATCCTCATTAAAATTTGTCGTTTGGCAGATTCTTGTAACAACCAGATATCTCCTGGCAGGGGGGATTTTTAGAGGATCTTACAGATCAGAGGGGAAAAGGCATCTTGACTGGTCCCAGTGCTGCACAAGAGATGTTACAAAACCTGTCCCGTTGCACTAAATCCCAGCATGTGTTTTCTGTCAAAGAATACTCCATATATATATATGAAATCCACTGGTGTAATAGAGAATTATGTATGCTAGATATTAACTGTCCTTTCTACCATCACTTATTTAAAAAACTGATAGGTAGAGGATATTTCAGAGATTGCAAAAGTGGGGTTTTTTTCTTTCATGACACCTACATAGGTGAAACTGTGTGTACCAACCTGGCCTTATTCCTCTCAGCCAAGGTTTTAAACATCAATAACTGAAGTGTGGGGGCTGGGCTGTGTGGGTTCAACACTCTCCAACAAATGGCTTCCTTCTCTGAAGTTTCGCCTTCCCTTGTGTGCAACCCTTGGACTGCCAAATGGAAGAGGACAAGGTACAGGAGGTGCATGTCCATGGGGAATGTCTGCCTTTTTGCTGTGTGCAGGCCCCAAATGCATGCATGGTCTGAGCTAACCTGAGAGAGAGAAATACCAGAAGTAGCTGTGCTTCTCACTGGCTTCAGCTGCTTCCACTTTATGTCCAGAACTGTACAGCAGTGGAAGCACCTACTTTACCCACACTGCAGCCTATTTCCACTGCAACAGTGTGAATGTTTTAAGAGAGAGCAAATAAATTGCCTTCTTAGCTAGGAGAAAGTGCTGTCCACCCCACCCTTCTTGACTAGCACAACCCCAAGTGGAAAAAGTCCATGCCATTGGAGTATGAAGAAGGGCACGTGTTTTAAGTGGCACAGATCCTCACAGAGATGGATGTTTTCCCAAATGATGTGGATTAGGAGAGTCTTCTTGACAGATTTCTAAACAAGGTCTGAAAGGGAAGGTGTTGAAGGGTGGATTTGGGCCTGGGAAAGTCTTCTGTGGAGCTGATTACATTGGATGTCAATCTGTGTGAGAAACAGAGGCTCTATTACCAATTTCCCTAATCAGCTTCTCAGAGAGAGTCTCCAAGAGAAATTGGGTTACCTTTTAGGATTTCCATGTGAATCTCCTCAGAGGGTTGTGTGCATGCTTTAAATTGGCTCTGATTCCTCTCCCTAGCCCCCTCACACAGCAGCTTCCGAAGGGGCCATTATGACCTTGGTTTATTTGTAATGTAAAAACTGTGCTTTAGGATTTTAATTAGTCTTGGGGTTGGCCTTTTTTTTTTTTTTAACTGAAGTAAAAGTGTCCAGAGACATTTAAATACCCTAATTTCTCACTCCACTAAAATTATTAGGAACTCCTTAAAGTAAATGTCAAATCACTATTAATTGTTTCAGAATTCACTGATAAAATATTTATCGTAATGAATTCCTTCAGGAAAAAAAAAAAAAAAAGAAAGAAAGAAAAAAAAGACAACCAAAAAGATTGCTGATGAAAATACAGACGATGGAGGAGGTACTTGGGGAGGTTGCTCCATCTGGTGGCAGCTCAGAGCTGATGGTTTGGGGGGCTTTGCATTGCACAGGCGAAATTTCCCTCCGGTTTAACCCTGTTGAGCATCCTCCACTCCTTGGTAGAAGAGCAAGTCCATGCACTTGGTTGATGTTGGAAAACGTGGTTGTCATTTGCAACTAGACACACCTCACCTATTAAAAACAGTCACCAAGATCTTCCTGGTTTTCCCCAGGAAAAAACGGAACGAGCTTTTATAAATAATTTTCAGTGCAAGTGTGGCTGGCAGTGCTGACACCAGCTGTTGCACAGGCCAGGGAGCCTCCTTGGCCTTTGCACTGTTTGTGCAAGTCCTACTTATTTCACAACAGTTTCCAAGTATCTGCTTGGTAGAAGTGTCCTTCTGGATGGAAAATTTAAGCCTAAATTATAAGACTTTTTAATATATTTTTTAACTATATCGCAACAGCAAGTCAGGATATTGTTTTGAAATAAAAGCAGAAACAGAGGAGAGATCAAATCACAAGACAGTTGAAACAAGCAGCAGAGACCCACAAATCCAGAAGTACACAAATGGGCATGATGAAATTAGAAATCCCTTCTCTGCCTGATGTGCCCTTCACAGCACCCCCACACCAGAGCAGGGTGTGTTTATTTTTTTCTGCAGAAAGGAAATGAGAGGCCAGGTTGATTGATTACCTCTTTCCCCCAGTCAAAGCAAATATTATGCAGTATATATTCTGTATTTACTGTAAACTATATATAGCAAATGATGGGTAGTTAATGTATTTCGGACCATAGAGTGTATGTTATTATATACTGTATGTGTACTACACCTAATTCAGTTAGATAAAATGTGTGTTCTATAGAACATTCATTAGATCAAACTTGGATTTATATAATCCCTAAACACAGGTAAAAGCTGTAACATAATGTCAATATTTGCATACAAAGTATTTTGCATTACATAAACTAAACCATCCAGATATCATCTAACATGAAGACAATATCTACCAGCAGCCTACTACAAATACTGTGGTTTAGACCACATATAATAGATAACATATAAGCAATATAATATTTAATATTCAATGTATATGTAGCAACATATACACTAGCACAACAGTGGTATTTTATATAAGATAAATAAGTTTTAACTTGAGATAAAACTGCACACAACAGAACACTCTACATTATGTAGTTTATAATCCCTATGCTATTCCATTGTATAGTAATCCTTTATGTTATAGTAATCTATATGTATGTATAGATTACTATATGTACATATAGTAATCTATACTATATGTGTAGTAATCCAAATATGTTATATTTGTGTCATACCATATAGGAATTATATCATACTATGTTGTTTGTGTAGTAAATGCCATTAGCAAGGTACATTACATAATGAAAAATAATAAATCTTATCTTCTTATCATAATGAGCTATAATGAATCTTACACTACACATAGTATTTACTGTAAATACAACACATATGTTTATATTATATTATATGTGATACAGTATTTACATAATTTTACTATAGACTGCATTTTATATTTTGTATGCATCTATTGCACATATGTCATTGTAAATTTTTTTTGGCAGTATATCCGCTTAATAAAATTGAACAAAATTCTATATAAAATGTCTTATGTAGGATCTATCACTTCCCAAAGACAACTCCCAGGATAGCTATATATGCAATCCCCATGTATGACACAGAATATGTAATAATGTACACTTGATTTTATTGAGAAACATTATATCAGAACAATATTATGACATGAGAGCAGGAGTCAGAGAAGAGGACTCTGTGGTGAAGTTGATTTCTATCAGGAGCTAAAAACAGAAACAGAAGTTTTAAAAACCATGTTAACAGAAAGCACTTCTAAGTGTTATTTTGTTGCTGTTTCCAGTCAAGCCTAGCACAAACTGTAAAAGAGAAAAAAGTAGAATTTAATTTCAGAAAAAAAATAAAGGCTGTAGTCCCCTGTAGCCTTCAGTGGAAGGCTGACAAAACTTGTGACACAGAGAAAACATTCTGACAGACCTTCACACTTGTTTCTTTCCCTGACACAAAGGGGGCCCTGGATCATGTTTTAGTTTGTTTTTTTCTGCTTGACTATATTAACATGCCGTTGGATGTGGGGCAAACTAAAATTCTTTAGCCCAGTGAGCACCACAGCAGCTCACTGGAGCTTGAGCTAGCCAGCCACTAATCCTATCTCACAGCTGAGGGCTCTGAAAGAACAGCCATTGTCCAAAGTTCAGGCCAACATTCCAGCAGGATGCTGGAGAATTGGAGGGGGAGGGAGATGGGGATATTTGTGGATATACTGCCAAATCCCAAGCACCCACGTGCTTGGGAATGGGAGGCAATGGTAGACAGTGGCAGACAAAGACTTTGATCCAGCTGTGGAGATAAAGGCAGGATCTCAGAAAGCCAGGAGATGTTTCTTCTCTCCCACACTTCTTACAGAGAAGAAGCCAAACAAGCCTGTAGTTATGACTGTATCCTGTTATACACCTTACCTCCACATAAATAACCAAAATTTGAAGGCATTTATCCTGAATCTTGTTAAATAATTTTCTTCACTGCCTCTGCAGACCAGTCAGTGCCACAGGCCAGCTGCCTGTCCAGAGGATGCATTTTTTGGTTGTTGTTGCATTTAGCACCTTCCCATTTGTTGGACATCTGCACTTTGGGCCACATTCATCATTGTTGGTAAGGCAGCATGACTTAAAGATATCTTGTTTCTCCTTTGGGTAAGGCATCTTATGGGCTGCAAGCATGAGAAAAGAAGGACAAACAAATACAAATGATAGAAACAAAGAGAGTGGCTGGATATTACAGTAAACCTTTGGATTTAGCACAGATTGTGCTGGGTACAAAATAGAGTTGTTGTCTATCAAGGAGATCTACCAAATGTCCTTGGCTCAAAAAAAAAAAAAAAAAAAAAGGCCAAAAAAAAAAAAAAAAAAAAAAAAAAAAATAAAAAAAAAAAAAAAAAAAAAAAAAAAAAAAAAAAAAAAAAAAAAGGCCAGAATAAATGAAAAAAAATATATAAATAGTTAAAAAGAAAAGTGAAATTGGTACTTAGTCTCCTTTTTCCCTAGGGTGCCATGCATTCTCTTCTGGTCACTGCTGCTGCCTACAATCGAGACAAGCAGCAGAGCACACACCAGGAGGAAGCACTCAGGTCCTGGCTTTAATGCATTCCCTACAGGTGAAGGTCACACCCTGCAGGTCTCTTGGGTAAACAGCCCTAGGCAGTGGGCAGGCACTTCTGCAAGATGTTTAATGCCAGTCACCAGGCCACTGCAGTCAATCGCTCACTCCCCTACCAGCAGGAT